TATTCACACCTCTAAATCACCCCTTTAAAATACACAGATGAGCAGTTTTTAGTGTATTTATAGAATTGTGTAACCACCATCACTACCTAGTTTTAGAACATGTTGATTACCCCAGAAGAAATCTCCATGAGTAACCACCCTATCCCTATCCCTAGCCCTAAGCAACCACCCGTCTACTTTCTGTCCCTCTYGTCTTGCCTGTTCTGTACATTCACAGTAATGGAATCATACACGATTTGCTTTTGTTTCACTGGGCATGTTTTTAAGATCCATCCATGTTGTAGCATATATCAGTATTTCATTCATTTTCATTGCTGAATCAGATTCTGTTGTATAACTGGACATGGTGACACACATTTGTAATCCTAGAGACTCGAGAGGCTTAGGCAGGAAGCTTGCAAGTTCAAGACCAGCCTCAGTAACTTAATAAGACCCTGTCTCAAAATAAAAATAAAAAAGTTTGGGGATGTAGCTCAATGGTAAAATGCCCTTGAATTCAGTCCCTAGTACCCCCCCCCCCCAAAAAAAAAGGCGTGGGGGGTCGGGGAAGATCCTACTGTATAGATAGATGTACCACATTTTTTTTTTTTATCCCTTTACCAGATGAAGAATATTTGGATTATGTCTACCTTTTGGCTATTATAATGCTGCTATGAACATTCATGCACATGATTTGATGTGGATGTGTTTTCATGTTTCTTGTATCTATACCCAGGGGTGCTGGATTATATGGTAACTCTGTTTAACCTTTTGAGAACTGCAAAGTGGCTGCACCATTTTTTCTTCTCACCAGCAATACAGAGGGTCTCAGTTTCTTCCTAGCCTCACCAGTACTTGTTATTGTCTGGAAATGAAACTGTTTTCAATGAAAATATAAAGTCATTAAAACAGAAAATACCAATTAGATTATGTTATACTCATTGAAAATGGCCTATATGTAAATCACATGACATTAGAAACTTAAAACCAAATGCCACTTTGTATCTCTGTATACAAAACAACTCATTGGAGTCTAATTACCTTATCATTAATGTTCACCAGGTGGTTGGGGAATGCAGGTTTTCTTTTATGTCTAATTGAGAGGTAGAGAGTGGTGAAATGATTACATGTGTGATGCTGTTGAGAGTCAAATCCGTTTCTGACAAGCAATTAAATRTAATTGAAATAGGACAAATTGAGTAACAACATTAAATTTGCAAAATAGGAATGAGCAGATATTATTAAATGTATGCCATTCTCTAGGAGTTGGGTGGTGAGTTGGCATTAGGGCCAGAGCCCTGGTATTTTTATTTACTTGGGTTAGTTCCCATCCGCCCACACTTGCCTCCCATACTAATCAAAGGAGTTCATGAGACATTCCCCAGTAAGCATCCTGTGCAGAGAGGATTTTATTTTTTAATGAAGTGCTAGAGTTTAATGTGGTCAGGAAGGAAAAYGATCCTTGGGGCTTTCTTAGACTCAGGCTTGTTTTGTATGAATCTGGGAGACCTGCCATAGGTACTATAAAAACAAAAATGTAAATCTAGACAGTCACTCTGAGCCCAATTGTCTAGCTCTTCCGTGGCTTCCCKCGACCTATTATTGTGTCACATGCACAAAAGGCTTGACTCTATCTCTGTCTGCATCTTGAGCCTCAGCTGCTGCCACTTGCAGGTGCTAAAATGTTTGTTGGTCCCAGTGTGCACACTGTGATCTTCCTGCCCTCTGCTCCAGCGGCGTTTCCTCTGGTGGGAGTTGCCCTCTCTCTGTGCATGACTCCATTCAGGCTCCACCTCCCCGGGACGCACTTAAGAGCCCTCAGGGTGATGCTGGTCCCAGGCAGAACACTGAGCTGGAAACTTTGTTCACTGAGAAGAAGAGAGGAAAAAGAAAACACCAGAAAACGTCCCCGGAACTTAYTTATGTCTGCAAAAGACAGAAATTAAACAGTAAACATGATAACTCCATAGGTTCCTTGTGTAGTGGAGGTAGTAGGTCTAGGAAATACCAAGAAATGAAGCAGAGGAATGGGAACAGGAATGTCCAAGAGGGGAAAGGTGAGCACTAGGTTAAATAGGGTGTAGGTGGGCTTCACCTAGAAAGCCAGAAGGGGATGAGGGATCAGCAGCATGAGCTTTCTAGGTAGAGCCAAGAGCCAGCCCGAGACACACTGCTCCATTGTGAGATTATGTGATAGGCTGTCAACCTCCAGCCCTGGGGGAGTTGATTGGTGAGTTCTCCAAGAATCTTTCTGTAGACTAACGTGTATTTCCATTTGGATCTTTTAAATTCTAAAAATAGTTCCAAGGCAGCTCTGTCTTTTGCCCTTTTCCCTCCCACGTCTCTTTCCAGCACACAGGGTTGGACTATTTATAGCCAGAATGTCCCCTCAGGAGTACTCAACACTTCAGTCACAAGATCCTGTGAGCTCCCTTCTGCACTGAAGGATYCAGATTTGCCCTCTGAAATAAAAGCCCCATAAGCATTTCCTGCTCCCAGAGGACCAGCACTGTGTCTCCTTTTCCTTTTGGGGTTCACATTCTGTTATGTGACTTCTTTTCTTGGCCTTTCATCTCTGTCCTCATGGTTACCTATTAGTGTTCTCTGGTTTCTCTTTTGTGCTGTCTGTGAATTCTTCCCCCGATGGAGAAGGCGTGGCCTTTCTTCTGCAGTGAGCCTTCACAACCCCCTGACTTCCCTTCCCAGAGGAGTCTAGCACAGCCCTCCCTGCACATCACTTTAGGAATCTTTTAGTGCCCTCGMATTGCATTGACTAATTAGATTTTGGGGGTTTCAGTCCTTGTGACCAGTAAAATTGAATTTTTTTCTTTCTTTTTTTCTTTWTTGCTGTAATACACKCTGTTTTCTATTGCTTTTTCTTTCTTTCTTTCTTTTTTTTTTAACACAAATGAGTTTTTACATCATTGTGTTCCCACCTGGCTTTGGAAGTTAATACCAGGAATGTTTTTATCCCCTTAGTGCTTCTTTGCTCTAACAACACAATAATCTCAGTTAAAAGAATTGGCTCAACACCTGTGCTTATTTTTATATTTCTGGATGGAAAATGTAATTTTTCCTTTTCGCTTGCGTCTCTTTTATTTCCGTGTATCAGAAACTTTAAATGTCAGAAGATAATCTTTTTTCTTTTCTTTTTTCATGGAATGTCACACCTGGAACTTCTTCTAAAGCTGCATTTCTGAAGTACAGATAGTGGCAGCTTTGTCCCTCTTCTCCCTCGATAGTCATTTCATGCTCATTGGAGATAAGTGATCTGGAGATTTTGTTGACTTGTGATTGCTTCATAGTCAGTCTTCCGTTTTATAGATGCTAAGAAGGACACGTAAATTTGTCTATGGCTTTTAGAAAAGGTTTTTATTTCATCCTTTATCCTATATTTTATCACTGGATTGTGGGGGTTTTTTTGCCCACTTTTATTCTCTTATTTAATTTTTTTTATCAAGGTAATAATTGGACATAGTCTTAAGGTCAAATTATTTACAGTGCTTATCACAAAAATTAGCACTTTGTCCCTCAAATCTCTCATTACTTCTTGTCCTTTGGCACCTGTGACAGTCTMTTTCCACTTCATTACCAGAATTTTTCTGGTGTTTAGCTCCATATCTTTACGTGAGGTATTGATTCCAGCACTTTTTTTCCACTTTCTGCTTTTTTTTAATGACTGTGGAAGATGAGGATTTAGGCTGCAAATAGCCTGTCAGTTTAACATAGTTAGGTCAAACTCATTTTTTAAAAAAGTCATGTTTAGGAAGAAAAATTTTTATTGATTTTAAAATACCAGAGCACCTCAGTCTAGAGTTCTAGAAAACAACAACGGAGTTTTCATAGTGCATTGCAGGGAAATGCACTAACAGAAAATATCAGAGCCAGAAGGTGTGGAGATATGTATAATTTTAAGAGGGTAACACTACTAACAATTTTGATTTAGCTAAAATGTTAAAATAGCAAATGAGAGATCTTCATTTACCACTTGTTGCAGTAGTAGTCACTTAATGAGTTTTGTTTTCAAATTCTTGTCAATTAGTCGTAATCATGGAACATTTCCTAGGAGCCGGGGTGAAAGTTTAGCCCTACTTAATAGATTTGCATGAAAAACCTCACAAGGGAAAAAGTAGTAATTGCCTCAGAATGAGAGGTAGAACATATTTTAAGATACTTGGAGATTGTCTCTTATGTGTTCTCTTTGGTTTAATTTTGATTTCACATATTTTAATTTGTTTCTCTCTTTTTTCCTTAATGTATCCTAAAGAATGTGAAATACTGAAAATCTCATTCCTGATTTTCTTCTTCTGTACCACTGGATGCACTTTTTTTCCCTGTCAGTGTTATAAGAGAAAAGTATCTTGAAACAGGGTATTGTAATTTAACAGCCTGACATTAGTGGCAGCTCCAAAGGTATATTTTGTGTAAGTTCAAATACATTGTAACAGGGCTGGAGGACATAGCACTGTGGTGAACACTTGCCTAGCACGTGCAAGGTCCAGGGTTCAATTCCTAGTACCACAAATACAAAAAATACTCTGGGGGCTGGGGATGTGGCTCAAGCGGTAGCGTGCTCGCTTGGCATGCGTGAGGCCCGGGTTCGATCCTCAGCACCACATACCAACAAAGATGTTGTGTCCGCCGAGAACTAAAAAATAAATATTAAAAAAAAAATTCTCTCTCTCTATCTCTCTCTCTCCTCTCTCACTCTCTCTTTAAAAAAAAAAAAAATACTCTGTAACATTTTACCCAGGTAAAGTTCCTATKTTTTGGTTCTTTTCTCTTCCTCCTCCTTCTCCTCTTTTATGTTTTTGCATATTTAAGTTCTGCAGAATCACCTCTTTGCTCCTATTCAAATTTTTCACTGTTCAGATCTATCAACCTTACATTTTCACTTCTAACTTAACTTAAATGCTGGTTGTTAATCATTTCCTTCCCAGCTATACTCAGAGTGATCTAACTGAAGATGTTCCGTGCTGAACACGAGGTTACAAATTCAACTTTTGCTTCTTTTTGCAAAGGCACTGAGACGTGAGTTGAAGGAGAAAGAGTATTCTGTCCTGAACGCAGTGGATCAAGCTCGAGTTTTCCTGGCTGATCAGCCAATTGAGGCCCCTGAAGAACCAAGAAGAAGCCTACAGTCAAAAACAGGTGAGACTGGTTCCTTTAATACATCACAAAAACACATGTTAGGAGAACAAAACCATAATCAAGTAGGGAATTTCCTTATAGTATTCATGATCTAATAGTTTAAACTTTTCTTTTAAGTATTACCTTCATTGAGTATATATTTAACAAATATCCAGATTCAAGTTAGTTAATAATTGCAAATGGGAAAATTATTTAAAATATAATATTAAACATAAAATATTTAAATCTAAAGTAAGTTTTTTAAAAAACTTCTGTCAACATGAGACACAGCAAAGTGCCCTTTTTTTTCTTCAAGCAGATAGTAGTATTAAATTTAAAAATAAAAACCTATAGCATTTAGGCACTATGGCTTAAAATTGAAACAGGAACTACCTTATTGGCAAATAACAATCTGTCACATAGTACATTTAAGAGAAAATTTGTAATAAATTTTGAGGCCAACATTTTTCTTTTGGTTTTTCACTGTTGAACATTAAAAGCATTCTGATGCATTTTTAAAAATAGACACACCATTCAAAATATTTTCCATTGTTCACTTCACATGGCAAAAGCAAACCTGAAGAGTGCCTCATGCTATGTGCAGCTTGTAAACCATGAACCTTTCTGACTTGTAAGGGAAGCACAGTTGGAAAACACTTTCCTTGACTATAGCAGGGACTGGCTCAGACTTTTGCAAGGCAGCCATGTCCTGCTGAACCTTATTTATGGAGGAAACTCCTCTCAGTCTGAGTAATTTCCCATCACGGCACTGATTTTCTTGACTCTTTGAACCTAGTTGTATGTGTGTGTATGTGTACAGCACATGCATGTGCACACACACACAGTCATTTCCAACATTACTTTTTGTTTTCTGCTCCTTTCTGGTTAGCCTACTGGGGAGAAAGTCACTGTTGAGTCTCCCACCTTTCATCAAACCCCACAAGTCACTCCTAATTGTTATTTCTATCTTTGAAGAATGATTATTTCTGAGGACAGCTGCCCCTCCCCTCTTCCCCATTTTCTTGGGTTCTGCATTTAAAAATTTAACTAACTATGGGTTGAAATTTTTTGAAAAAATATCTCATTTTCCTTGTCATTATTTCCTAAACAATAGAGTATGACAGCTATAAAGCCATGTACAGTACATTAAGTGTGAAAACCATTTATAAAGCATGTACAGTGCATTAAGTATTATGAGTAATCTAGAGATGATTAAGAGTATGCAGGAGGATATTTATAGGGTATATGCAAATACAGTGCCATTGTATATAAGGAACATGAGTATCCATCTTGTTTTTTTCTTGGTGTCTGTGGGATATGCTGGAACCAATGCAAATCAAAAGGGATAATTGTACAGTTATAGATTTATTAAGCACACACCCAACACATGTATACAGACAACAGACCCATGCACTACTATTAATTCCAGATTCTCAGCTTGCTGTCCATAGTCTTGGAATAGTTTTAGCACTTGTCACGTTCATTTTCTGTCCCCTTATATATCATGCAGTATTTGCCCCTGTGGTTCCCTTCTTCATGTTGGCCTATTCATGATTATGAGTGAAATCTTTTAGAATCACATTCATCTCCCTTTCCTGATTAAACATCCTCACTGAATTTCCATTCCATACTGAAAAACTTTTACTCTAGCATGACATTTGAAAATCATTGAAATCAAAGCCTTCCTGAGTTACCCAAACAATTTTTTTTTCTTAAGATTTTAATAGTTCCATACTCAATGTATATTATCTACTCGGTGATTTTTGGAACTCTCTTGTCAGAGTTATGCACAATTTTCTTTTTCCATTTTTAAATTTTTTGAAAAGAATATTTTAAAGATTGCTTATATCCTTAATATAAACTATCAGAAGATTTAAGATCTTTAGAAATGAACTACTACAGATTTGCTCACCTCACAGGTGAGAGACTGAGGACCACTGAGAGGAGACAATCTGCTCAGGACCCAGTTCAGTCCTGTTGGATACCTAACATATGCTGTTTTCATTTTTATTGATTTATTTTCAGATAAATAAATTCTTCAACTCAGGGCAAATAGATAAATTTTAAATTCATCTATTTTCCCTGAGTTGAAGAATCTAGCTTTAATAATTTTGTATCCTATGCAGTGCCTATGTATATTAGGCACTTGGTCAAAGTTGGATAAACAATATGTGACTACCAGTTTAAGCAAGTGCTACAAAGAAACTGACTTACTGTTTGGACTCTACATATGATCTACTACAGGAGCATTTTTGTGAGCTAAATGACTAATAATGTCCCCCATCATCACCAAGTTTCAAATTAAAGAAAATGAACACAAACTCTAGGGAGTTTCTTGGAAGAGCTAAACTCATGGCACTTGCYCTTCCTCAAGTTTTGAGTCCATAAAGCAGAACCAGGTGGGAGAGAAACTGGTATGACGAGCAGTGGGGATGGGTGGTACATTAGTGGTTTTTAACATGAAATGGGAAGAAACCCCAGCTCTTCTAAAATAAGCGATCAGTGTTTCTGGAGTTCCTTTCCCTTATCTATCCCCAAATTCCTGCCCTTTCCTGACCCTCTCCCCCCACCACCTCCGACCCTGGTCTTTGCATCTTGCCCCACACAGCTCTGACCTCTGGGTTGCTCAGGTCAGAATCCTTTGGGCCACTCTGGCTCCTTTAGTGGCTAAATCCACTCCATTAGCAATTCCTGTTGTCACTACATTCGGAATATACTAGAATCTCATCCTTCATTACCTGTTCACCACTAGGCTAGCCTTTTCTATATTTCACCTGCCCATAGTGTATATTATCTCATGTCCTCATTTCTAGGCCTGGGAAATGTAAACTCCAGGAAGACACAGTTTTTGTTCATTGTTTTTTAATGCTATATTTTCTAATGTCTAGAATACTGTCTGGCACATCTGGCACATAGTAGATACTTCTTGCATACTGATTGAGTGAATTGACACGTCAGGTGAGAATTGTCAGGATAGATAAAAAGGCATAATCCCAGATATCTCTGAGAAGGGTTCTGATTAGTTGGAGACCAAAACCAGCAGAAAATGGTGAGAAAGTAAGCAATAAAGTGCTTGGTTGTACATCCCAAGAGAGAAAGAGTCTGAGGGTCAGAGTAGAGAAGGTGGTTCCTAAGCGAGTCTTATAATGTGTCAGGAGGCAGCGATTAGGCTCCAGGAAGATTGACGTCCATTCTAGGACAGATCCTATGACAGTGCAGCCTTAGGGAACAGAGCAGCTGTGTGTTGGGGAAGGAGCAGCCCAGCCCAGTAGTCAGAGGCCTGTGCCTAGTCAGGAGGTGGGATGGGAAAGTCGTGTGTGCCATGTGGCTCAGAATGCAGAGGATCTGGAGATTTGGGTAGGATGTTTCAACTTCATCTGGTAGAAAGAAGGCACTAGTATAGGTTTGTCTTTTTATTCATTTATTTAAATTTGTTTATTTATTCATTTATTTATTTTGCATTATAATTCTTAGTACACTATTATACAATAATTTAACATATCTCTGATTATATATAAGGTATGTTGACACCAAATTCACATCTTCATACATGTATTTTGTATAATGATGAGGATCCTTAAATGTGGGAGAAAAATAAGAAATTCCCTTGTCTGCATTAATTTAATTTAAAAAGCCTTCCTGAATCTGCTTTCTTATCTCCTTGCTTTCCTAGGCCTTGGCAGAGAAGGGAGGAAGAGCTTTTATAACCAGCTGTTTTATGGCAACATCAAGGTTGCCACATCAYTCTAACGTCACCTTGCCATAGGTTCTTCTCAGGGATCAGTCCCTTAAGGGTTAAAAAGATACTGCTTTTGAGTTCTCAGTTTGCTGGTATTTTCAGGTTATTTCTAAGCCCAATTCAAATACCACCTGGGGTGGGATGGGCAAGAGAAAAAGTTATGTCAATTTAACTTTATGGGCTTTTTTTGTTTTGTTTTACGATTAGCAATTTCCATATTCTCTCCTTTCTTGATATTATTTCTGTTATGCTGGCTGATTTTACCTGCTGTTAAAAGTAAATGAAAGAAAATTATCCATAATAGCTTTTACACTTTTGTTGTTTACCATGACTCATGTGTCACTGCTATCAGAAACAGACAGCATTTGAACGTTAGTTATCCTTCGTAACACCCAAGGGCTCAGTGTTGGAGGCATTAGCACCTGGAGAAATTATATTAGGGTTTCTTAGTTCTGTTTAACAAGCATTTTTGAGTGTGTTGTGTGCACCATCCCCTAGGGGACCAAGATGGATCCATCTTTTTACTTTTAATTCCAGAAAATACTTCTCTTCATAATTTTCCTCTCCCCAATGCTTTTTTTTTTCTCCTCTCAATGTTTTTTTTTTTTTTTCTTTTTCCCCCATCATCAATTTAAGATATCTTAAAGTATTCTGGCTTTTTATTTGTTTTAAATTGTTATTTTAATTATACAAATTTGTGAGGCATGGGGGTGACAATTTGATAGATACATATATATGGGGTGTACTGTTCAAAGCAGGGTATGTACTTTTTAATTTTTTAAAAATCACTACTGATATTACCATCATACATTAGGCCCTTACTGTCCTTTGTGAGACTTATTTCAATACTTTTTTCACTGACACTCTGTTGATGTGAACTCTAGAATGATGTAAAACACAGAATTGGCATTTGTTTCTGTGATTTAAACTCCCCCTGGAGTGGGGTCCAGGCTCCTTACCCTGCCCAGTGGAGTCTGCACTGTGATTTGGCCTCTGATTTTCTGTGGCTCCTGTCATGCCCYTTCTGCTCCACCCTCAGTGTCCACTGGACTCCAAACTTCTCATGACTCTGTGCAGTAGTCCCAGCCTTCATCCTGCTGTCCATCCTGATCTTCCCGCCTACAGGTGCCTCCTTCCTGGCCTAGCTCAGGCTGCCTGTCTTCCGGACTCTTTCCCTTCCAACACTCATCCACAATTCCCTGCACCCCCCACACCAAATCTGTGCTGGAAACTCGTCCTCTTCCCTGTTCCTTAATGGCCATTTCCATTTATTGAGATTCTA